CTTTAGCTGGGTGTGACAGATTTGGTATCAGAGCTTCAGTTATAGAGAACACCGGTTTTTCTTAAAACCAAACTATAACCAAATGCTTTCAAAGCAAAGTTACTAAGTATAACCAGAGGATGAAAGTCGTGTTATAATACTTCAATTAAACAGAGCCTGATCACCTATGTTTAACTTAAATATTATGATAAAAGATTCTCATCGGTTGTGCTGAAAGTATACTCAAATATAGAAAATTTATCTAAAAACATGAAAAGCATGATTGTGTGTATTTGCATGAATTATGAATATCCATCGCCCTAGACTAACCAGAAGCTCTGGTTGTGAGGTAAAGCAAGTTATATAGAGCACTAAGACAACCCGAGGGTCAAATCTGTATCTAGATGCTTGGTAGTTAGACATAGATAAAGGGTTTAGTCACTATAACCTTTGTATTCAAAAGTTCGCACTATGCGTTAGGTAGGAAATTTCCTGGACATAGATAGTGAGCTTTGCGTTCTAGTTTTGATTAAGAGACCACTATTCTATTTAAGTGAGAAGCGTCCATAAGTTCTGGCTGGCTTGACCTTGAGAGCCAGAAGCTCTAGTTACAGGAACCAGAGCCTCTTGTCCATGAAAGGAAAATATTTACGAAGTCTGCATGAGGAACCAGAGATCGATGGAAGGTGATCCATCGGTTTGCCAAGTATGAGGAACCAGAGATCGATGGAAGGTGATCCATAGGTTTGCCAAGCATGAGGAACCAGAGATCGAGAAAGGTGATCCATCGGTTTGCCAAGCATGAGGAACCAGAGATCGATGGAAGGTGATCCATCGGTTTGCCAAGTATGAGGTATCAGAGATCAATGGAAGGTGATCCATCGGTTTGCCAAGTATGAGGAACCAGAGATCGATGTAAGGTAATTCATCGGTTTGCTAAGTATGAGGGATCAGAGATCGATGGAAAGCGATCCATCGGTTTGCTAAAATATGAAAGACCAGAGGCCGAAGAATTAGAAACCTCATGCATTACTAAGTGGATGTTGAACCAGAGGTTGAGGAGCTAATGGTCAAACATTGTTCCAAGCAGGGGGATTTCAACCAGAAGCTCTGGTAATATAACCAGAGGCTCTGGTCAACTAGAGGCTGTAGTTCGTTTTCTATCCTTTGCCTCTACATAATAACTCTTGTCTTAACCTTAAGCGCTTCATTGATGATGTTGTTTAGTAATTAAGTTTGCCAATATTACAGATCACTATGTCATCATCTAGTGAATATTCAGCAGATGAATCTGGCTACACGATTGGCCGATCTAGAAGAAATATATCAATCAATACGGATGTGGATCCATATGATCTAGAGGACTTAGCGACCAGCGAGACACCAACTTTACCATCTACATCAGTGTTATCTTCATCGGAGCCAGTACCTGACCTACCACCTCTGACGTTTCATGGCCCAAGGATTAGGGTCACGGCCAGGAAAAGTGTATCACTACCTCGAAGGGTGACTTTCGAGAACTTTAGTAGAACTAGAGGAGAGGCATCCCAAACTCAACATGGGAGCGAAGACTCACAAGTGGTTACTGGGATACCTGTATCTTACACCCAGGGCATGACTCTGGATGAACGAGAATGGGTGCGGAGAATTGTAGTGGAAACTCAAACTCACCAGACCCGGTTGGGATATCATCATCACATTTTGAACAACCTATCCGACGTGATGGAGATGCATCACCAGTGTATGATAAGGAACTCGGATGTTGTCATCTGCAAGACACGAAATTAGAAGATTATATAGATGTTTAGTGGCGAGTGTGCCGATGATACTAGTACTAGGAATGCTAATATGTTGGATGCTGCTCTAGAAGCGAGGTTTAGTATTAGAATCACTACTCTTTTGTTGGGGTTAAAAATCTGTTTTGAGAAACATGAAATATATCCATCTTGGACTATTCATGATCAGAATCCATACGCTACACAGAAGAAATGCTGGAACAAACGCGCTCATAGTCCTAAGGGATACACGTTGGACCAATAGTACTCAAATAATTGGCACTATGGAAGTGGACCTAGCAACAGGAACCCGGTTGATCTATATAGTCCCAGACATGATGATGAGTACACAAGACTTTCATAACCAATTGGAAGTAGTTATACAAACCCATGGGTATGAATCATGGCAAGGAGGAGACAGTAACCTCCTAATCACCATGGGAACTGTGGCAAGGCTATCCAACACAAGTTATACTGGGTTCGCATATAACGTTCAAAATGTTGTTGATCATTTGGCTACAAATGGCATTGTAGCTATTCCAGGGGAAAAGAAGGATCTCAGGGAGCTGGAAGGAAGAAGTTGGAATATAAGGCCATCTGAAGTAGCATCCATTCGAGTACTATCAAGAGTTGCAGTCAATCAAAGGCTTGATAGATCAATAAGCCTAAGATTTGAAAGATATGGAAGGAGACCGGACCCCCCCCCCAGACATTCGGTAGACCAAGGAGATCGAGAAATACATGGCAATCTAGATGCTGACGAAGAACATATAATTGGGATCTGTATTCAGCAAATAATACATAACCCAATGGAACCATTCTGCCAATGTGACAGTTGCACTATAGAAGCGGAAAGACAACAAAAGGCCAACTTAAACCGACAAAAACGAGGTAATAAACCACCAAAAGAAAAGAGGAAATGGGGAGAAAAGTGGTCTACATTTGGTGAACACTCAGGAAAGTGGGACTACTATGGTAGATATGATGCACCTACACCAACAACCATGATTGAAGAAATTGTCACAACTGGATGGGATGATGATACCCAAGATCATCATGAGCAAGGTACAACGTCAAGTGTCAAATTCCAGGAGGAAGACACGGAAGACGAAGATTACTATCAACAAATATCCAATCTGCTGTCATCAGAGTTCGCTAAAAAACGTGGTGAAGACCATCAAATTCTAAAAATTTCTGAAACATCAGAATCAAAAGAAGAAGATTTGGAGTACCTGAAATTTCAGAGTTTTCAGGAGCATGTCTTCCCAACAAGTGGTGAAAGCGGAGTATATGATCAGTATACCCCGCCAACAGAGCCTATCATGGGGCTACCTGTTTATCCTCCTGCACATGGGACAACGTACGCCCAAGGATACACTTTCAACTACCCCAAGGACAAAGCAATTTCAAAGGAAACTATGGGCAGTATCACACCCACAATGGACTTTACCACCAGCTTTGGCAGGAGTAGGAGCAATGCTAATCTTGCCCCTTGACCCTGGCTTTTGGCCCGACGTAATTTCCAGATGGGAGTCTATCATCCTAAATAGACAAAGTGATCATACCTGGTCTGATAACAAACAGAAGCTGATGTACATAGAAAATATTTTCGGAGAAAATGAAAAGATTATGTGGTAGCAATGGCGGACAGCTTTTCCGGAAGCTTATGCCAATTTGGAAACAATCGCCGATGATCCTCAAAATATCACATCACAAGTCATGCAAATTATCCTGATGGAAGATCCTTACAGGGGATCCACAGAGGAACAAGAAAGAGCGACGAGAGATCTTGAAAGAGTCACCTGTGAAAACACCAAAGATCTTTGGAAATCTTTAAGTGACTTTCAAATTCTAACAACAAAATCTGATAGGCTATTCTTCCTCACAACAATGGACAAGTAATTCTCAAAGATGCCAAGGTCCATATCCAAACGGGTTGAAGAGGCATTCAGACAAAAATATCTGGGGTTAACTGTTGGTGTTCTTCCTGCAATCAGCTTCACGTACAACTTCATAGCTGACATGTGCAAGGAAGCGGCTTTACAGAAGGAACTAAGAGATTTATCTCTTTGCTCAACAATACCAATCCCAGGGTATTATGAAGGACCAAAAAAGAAGTATGGTCTTAGAAAGTCTAAGACATACAAAGGCAAACCCCATAAAACACATGTAAAGGTTTTCAAGAAAAAGAACGCTGAGAAAGGATATGTTAGAAAATGCAAGTGTTTCATATGCGGTAAAGAAGGGCATTGCAGAAGTGAAAAGGGAAATATGGCTAGGGCAGCAGTTTTTCAAAATCTTGAACTCAAAGATGACTGGGAAATCCTCTCGGCTGAGAATGATGACTCCAGCTTATATAGTATATCAAAAGGAGAAGGAGGGGCTACTATTCGAAACATAGGAGCCATAGTTGAAGATTGCCCTATTGATGAAAATATTTTCATGATAAGGGAAGAAAGATGCTATATGTTTCATCCTGGAGAGCCCTCAAAGATTGAAGAAAAGGTCAAACAAGCAAGATCATGGAGACCAACAAAAGAATTATCAAATCCAAAATGCAAGCATGACTGGCAAGAAAATACAATTACCAATCATACGCTTTGTTATTTCTGTGGAATCCTAACTTCTGAAAGATCAAGGCTTCATTGTCCCAAGTGCAAGGCAACCATGTGCGCTGTATATGCTTTTCATCAGCTAAAAAGGGTTGTCAAAATTAAACCCTTGCCAAAAGTTGAAGAAAGAAAAGCAGAAGACCAAGGACAGTCACTAGTAAAGGAATTGTTAGCCGAAAAAGATAGAGAATGGAAGCAAATGATGAAGGAACAAGCCTATGAATATGATGAGAAGGAAAAGGAAATTTAGAAATGGAAGGAGAAAGAGAAACAATGGGAGTCTAAAGAACCAGCTTTAGATGAAGACTGTAAATGGCTTCTTGAAGAAGTCAACAGACTCAAGGTAGAATTGGAAGCATTAAAGAAGCAACAAGAAGAGTATCCCCCACCATTATGGACGCAACACCAAACAAAAGCTCTAGTCGAAGAGACTGTGATAGCCTCAGCATCTGGAGAATTGCAAAGAACCAGGAAGGTCAACAATCAGTTGTACAATGTGCAAGCTAATATTGATATCCCAGGATGCAAAGTTTTTTGTGTTAAGGCCATAATAGACACAGGAGCCATAGTTTGTTGCATAAACAAAAAGATTGTTCCAAAGGAAGCCATAGAAGAGGTAAAATATGAAGCATACATGAATGGTGTCAACTCAAGGCAGAAAGCAACCCACAAACTCAAAGGAGGCACTATTTCTATTGAAGGAAATAAGTTTCGTTTACCCCTGGTATATGCCTTTGACATGAGGACTGGAGATGGAATTGATATGCTCATCGACATATCTTTCATCAGGTCAATGAATGGCGGAATACAAATAGAAGGCAATGAAATTACCTTCTACAAAAAGGTAACCAAAATTCAAACAACGCCACAAACCGAGGTTACGAATGTTGCCATCGAAGAATTGGAACTAGACGAGTACATATATCATGAAGTTCAAAATGATACATTATTCACGAAAGAGGAGGGTACGAATTTGCATGAAGAATTCAGGCCTATTCTTGATAGACTTAAGCAACAAGGGTATGTTGGTGAAAACCCATTGTTACACTGGAAGAAAAATCAAGAACTCTGCAGAATTGAAGTGATCAATCCCGAAATCACTATTCAAGACAAGCCACCGAAGAACATAACTCCAGCAATGGAGGCATCATTTAAGAGACACATAGATGCTCTCTTAAAACTTGAAGTCATACGCCCAAGCTCTAGCAGACATAGAACCATGGCTATGATTGTCAACTCAGGGACAACTGTTGACCTTAAAACAGGAAAGGAAACCAAAGGTAAAGAACGCATGGTGTTCAATTACCGAACACTCAACAACAACACTCACAAGGATCAATATTCTGTACCAGGCATCAATACGCTTCTGAAAAGAATTGGAAGCTTCTGAAAAGAATTGGAACTGCAAAGGTCTTCTCTAAGTTCGATCTAAAATCAGGTTTCCACCAAATAGCAATGGATGAAGAATCCATACCCTAGACAACTTTTTGGGTACCAGGAGGTTTGTATGAATGGTTGGTCATGCCTTTTGGCCTGAAAAATGCCCCAGCAATCTTCTAGCGAAAAATGGATAAATGCTTCAGAGGCACATAAAGTTTTATAGCAGTATATATTGATGATATACTAGTATACTCCAAAGATGCAAAAGATCACAAGAAGCACCTCGAAATAATGTTGCGAATCTGTCAGAAAAATGGTTTGGTGCTATCACCAACCAAAATGAAGATAGCAACCCCGGAAGTCGAGTTCCTTGGAGCTTTAATTGGAAATAGCAAAATCAAACTTCAAGAGAATATTATCAAGAAGGTGTGGACTTTGATGAAGAAAAGCTTAAAACAAAAGCAGGGCTCAGATCATTCCTCGGGATTCTAAACTATGCCAGAACTTACATTCCCAAGCTAAGCATGCTAGTAGGACCCCTATACGTAAAGACTAGCCCGCATGGTGATAAGAGACTCAAACCGTCGGATTATGAGCTAATCCAGAAAATCAAGGAGAAGGTCCAAAACCTCCCAGATCTGCAAATTCCACCAGAAAACGCTTACATAATCATTGAAATGGATGGTTGTGCGGACGGATGGGGAGGATTCTGTAAATAGAAGAAAAAGAAAGGAGACCCCAAAAATATGAAAAGATTTGTGCCTATTCAAGTGGCAAATTCACAATACCACAACCAACCATTGATGCAGAAATCATTGCATGCCTAAATGCCCTTGAAAAGATGAAAATATACTATCTGGAAAAGGAAGAAATCACTTTCTGAACAGATTGCCAAGCAATCAACAACTTCTATCAAAAGACCAATAGCAACAAAGCATCGAGAATCAGATGGATTAGGTTTCAAGATGCCATAACTGGCACTGGTGTTAAAATCAATATAGAGCATATTGATGGAAAACACAATCTATTAGCTGATAGATTATATCGATTGGTAACTTGCTTTCTTGAAGAATGTACTGAAGAAATGATGACGTACAACCTGAGAGCAGCAGCCGCAACAGAAGAAGCTCTGATGTCGATCAACCAAGACTCGCCTGGTATTGTACAAATGAAGGTGAAGAATTGCTTAAAAAATCTTGCCCTGATCTCAAACCAATGTCACCAGAAATCACAAGAATAATGTGCATCCAAGAACTCGCAGGAGAATACAAGAGAATCCAAAAGCAAGCCAATACAACTCCAATCAACAATCTCACAAGAAATGCCCTGGTCCAATCGGCCCATCAAATTGAATTGAGAACAAACAACAGAGCCATATCCGCATTGGAGGAATTATGAGCTGTCATGCAATACAAGGCCCAAATTTGCTACGGAAAAAGAGGAAGTGACAACTGGTACTCAGATGTATGGCCCGAGGTCTTGGCCCAATACAAAAACACTTCCGAAATCATGTTGGACCTTAAGAAATTCAAAGATGAACAATGGCGATATCCAGTCTAATAAGCCTAAAGCCTATTTCAAGAAAAGCCCAGTCCATGGATGGCTTCTAGAAGACGACGTAACCGATGACGACTCGACAGAACAAGATATCATGGTGGACCCTGGAATAGACGACTACTTTATATGCACTACAAATGTAGTCCGTCCAGACTCGCTTTACCCGAATATCAGAAGGGCCCGCATCTAGAAGATGTCAACCACCTTTATGTTTAATTATTTTAAATGTTTGGCCAGCTGTATGATAATCAATAATGGCCACGAATATTCTCCCGGGGAAAAGGAATTACACTAGATCTTGGTAATGGCACTCCAACAAGCTCCGTAGGGAGAGAAAGAAGAGAAGGAGAAGTAGTATCTTTTGAAATCGCTTGAATATACTGAACCTTGGGTGAATATAAAATTTTCCTATTTGATCATGTGATTGCTCTATTGATACCTACAAGATGAAAATCTTATACATCATTCTATTGAGTAAAAATTATTGCCAGTAATATTGCTATAAAAATGATGAGATTCTCTTTTATCATGCCTTAGAAAATGCCGCCAAGAAGAGAAAACCCTGAAGTTGCATGACTCGTGTCAGAGCAACTCTTGGCTGCACTTCCTAATATAGTCAGTCAGGTGGCTGCGGGTCTGAATGCTAACCAATCTACCAGTTATGAGCCTAGGACATCTACGGAATGCACCTATAAATCCTTCAGATCCTGCAACCCGAAGGAACTTCATGGAACTGAGGGAGCCGTAGGATTACTAACTTGGATTGAAGGTATGGAGTCTGTCCTCCATATCAGCAAATGCCTAGAAGCAAACAAAGTAGAATATGTTGCATGCTTACTTCAAGGCAGAGCATTGACATGGTGGAACACATTAGTTCAGACTAGGGTTCGAGAAGTAGTCAATCAACTCTCACGGGAGGAGTTCAAGAAATTAATTAAGGACGAATATTGTTGATCCCAGATCTCTCAATAACACTAATAATCTAGTTAAGAATAACCAAATTATAGTGATTTAACGAAGAAAGTTATGAATATTCAAGAAGAAATTAAGAAACAATTAAGAACAATCTTGAGCTTCAAAAGTTTCACTTTATTATGAGAAAAACGTAAAGCTATTCAAGTGACTCTTTTTACAATAGGTCAGATCACCTATTTATACTAATCAGCTAATGAGAAGATAACTATCTAATGAGACATTTTAGCTAATCTTCTATTAACAGATAACGTTTATCTATTCTATGGATAAACTTTAGTATTAAAGATAAACTAGAAATCTAGCTGTTGACATGTCATCTCCAGCTGTCATTCATGGTGTGATGAATTATTCTTATCTTTAGATCTTCATTGTATGCTTCTGGATGATTTGTTAAAAATTCACTAAGTGTTGATGACCAGAGGATCGATGAGGATGCTCTTTCCATYGCATCCCAAATCATCCATCGGTCCTCTGGTTGTACTCCAGACTTAGTCGCTTCTGCCTTGATATCTTCATTGATCCTCTGGTTCTTCATCACTTATTGTTTTTTATTACTTTTTACATTATGAGTTATGGGGTTTAACAATCTACCCCTAAGTAATGAAACGACAAACATATGCTAGTCTAGAAACATTGGTGATGAACAGAGGCTAATCTAATTGAAAGACATCAGATTCCAAGTTTTCATTGGATGATGAAATTCATACAGTACTGGAATCAGAATACATCAAGGCAGATCACGAGCTACCTGAATATATTTCTCTGAAGTGTAGAAGCAGTCTTCGATATTCAATGACTGTCGATATCTCGTGAATGAGTCGACTCCCTTCTTCTCTTGGCACATAGTGTCTCCCCAGTCTTTCTCGAATGACTTTTTGAAACCATTCAAGTGTATCTGTTGAATACTTGAAGGCCTTAGTCAGTCTAAAGAACTTTTTGTTCCCGAACTCATTCTTGTAAACAAGTCCAAGTTCAGGTTGAGTTATAACAGAGACAGATCGTATCTTCTGCAGGCCTTGGAAGTCATCGTTTGGAGGAGCACAGGAGAGCCTTTTAATGCCTAGCCAAAAAGCTATTTCAAAATCGCTCTTGGCTCTGTGGTTTAACAGGGTTTCCATCATTTTCACCACTGCTCGGTTTGCTATTCCAAATCTGATGCCGTGGTCTTGTCTCTGAGTCGTATATGCATACATTTCAATCAAGTCGTATGGGTTGAGGTTGATGAGGTCGTTCTCGTTAAACACGTAAACTAGCCCCTGTGCTCTCTCTACAGTGAACTCGATGTATCGGATGGCTCGGTTGGCAAATGTCTTTATTTTCAGATCAATGACCCTCCTTATCCCATCAATCGAAAAGACATCCTGGGGTGCTTGAGTGGTCTGTCTAATGAATATGGTGTAGGAGGTCCATGGACTCAGGCGATAAGATTAGAGGGTTGATAGTCAAACTATCATCGCGGTCTTGATATAGATATTGATGAACATTCTCTAGCAAAATTGGTTCCCTGGGCAGAAAATCGGGACGTCTCATCATTGACTCCATGCTCTGTATTATTTCGTCAACCAAGCTCTGAGGAGGTTGCTTTGAGGAAGAGAGAGTATCCGCATGCGCCCCGGGTGTTTGTGTTAAGGGTTGTGTATGGGTTGGTGTTGATTCAGGTTGGGTTGGTTGGGGTTCATTTGGTTCGGTTTGGGTGGTTTCTGGTGCATGGGATTCGCTAGGGGATTGTGGTTGTTGGGTGATGAAGGTTGTAGTGTCATTGGTTCAGGTTGCATGGATAAAGTGAATGGTTGAGTGGTGCATGGTGTTGGTGAAGGGGTTAAGGGTAGGTTTAATGTGGGTGATGAAGGAAGAGGTTGGTTTAGTTATGTTGGTGGGGTAGTAGGTTCTTCATCGGTTGAAGAGCTCAACACGATGGGCTCTTGGGTCTCGGCGAAGGGAACTTGTATATTTACATCTTTAGAGGGCAGAGCCTTTGGTTCCCTTGCTTGGGTTCCTTCTGGTGATGGTGGTGGTTGAGGTGATGGTGATAGTGGTGCAGCGGATTCGGTTTGTTATGCAGCCGAGGCCTGTGTCTCCCCATCATGAGGTCCAAGACCTTGATCATCGGGGTCTTGGTCGTCATGTCTAGGCCTCTTGTGTGGGAGGCTGCTTGAGCAAAAGGCTCTTGTCCTCTTCTTCTTCTTTTCCTTCCTAAAGGTAGCGAGGTATGTCTTCAGGGAGGTCTGCCGTTGACTCACCTCCATTGTTTGTAGGAGGGAAGTTATGCACCGTTGTTCATCGGCCAGGTTCTGGGAGAGAACCAATGTTGGAAGAGTGGCCCGATGAACAAATTTTGTACTGATCTCGTTAAAAGATGAGACCAATGCCCTTGATAGTGCTCGCAAGTCCGCACCTGTGGCGAACTCTGTCATGGAGGATGAAGTTGGTGGTGGCATGGTGGTGGTGGATGTGTATGGGGGAATGGGAAGGTTTGTT